CATATTTTTAAATTGTTTTAATATAACAAAATTCTTTATTCCTATATTATCTAGAATCTAGAATATAAAATTTATCTAATTCCTATAAAGCTAGACCCTATTATTTAAAAAAAAATTTAATTTTTTCTGTATAGATTTCTGATAGGTAGTTCCGAAGTTCTTGATAGTTTTAAGAAATAATCTCTAAAATTATATGAAATCTTAAAAAATTATTTAAAAAATGGAGCGCGCGCGCGCGCTATCTATAGAACCTATATAAATGGAACCTACATCTTTGAATCGCATTTTTTTGTCCTTAATGATCAGAATTATTTTTTCTAAAACTATCAAAAACTCTACAACTGTGTGTATGTGTGTGTGTGTGTGTGTGTACGTATCGAAAATATATATAACACTCTGAAAAACTTAATTTTTTAAATAATTAGGAGCTAACTTCACAGAGGTTGAAATCTAAAATGTTCAAAATAAAGTAATAATTTAAATATTTTACTGTATTTGATGTTTTATGTCTCTCGCTGAGAAACACATATATATTCTCTCTCTCTCTTTCTCTCTCTCTCTCTCTCTCTCTCTCTCTCTCTCTCTCTCATCGTCTTTATTTTTTCCCCTTTTTTAACTTTCAACGATTCAATACACACGTGACAGACAGTTTTTCTTTATTCTTGAAGAAATGAAAGAAATCGTCTCAAAGCAATATATCATCTCTTCTCTTTTTCTCTACATACTTCACATTTGTCAAATTACGACGTAGAAAATTCTTTATTACATATCGTTTTATTTGCGAAATAATTATCGAGCTATTTCACTCGCGAATATCATTTGTGTAACAGCCGTTCGAACGATAAATCAAAATAAGAAATGCGTAGACGATGAATGACGCATGTCGTTTGATGTGCAACGTTCAAGGACAGGGGTCAATAATCCACGGCCCGTGGACTTTTATATGAATAAAGAACACGCCATTTACATAAACAAAAAAGTCATGAAAATTTAATTCCTGCCTTATTAAATGTATATGTATATGAATACCTAATATCCTTTATTTTTTAAGACTGCGAAGCCAAAAAACGTTTAATCTGACTTTAAAAGTTCGCCAAATCCTTTTCAAAATGTTCATCTACATTTTCGCGCCTATATAGAAATCTTTAAGTTTTTTTTCATTTGTTTCAATAATTCTTAATAATACTATAAACAAATGAATGCAAAATTCTAGTTAATATTAATCCCACTATAATTAGTTATTGTGCTAAATTGTTGTTATTGTGCCAAAAGTTTTACCAATAGAGTTCTGTATCTTTGACGTAACGTTTCATTCATAATTTCGAAGAAAATTTGATCATTTGAAAACTTTTGATAATTGTAACTTTTTAGCACCGATTTAACTCTTTCATTCCTGCATTATTTATGAAAATAGATACTAGATAGATACCTGGTTGTTTTTTTTAATAATACTTTATTTATCGAGAAGTTTTTAAATACAATGTGTGTAATATATGTATGTATAGATCCATTTATACAAAACTAAAGAAATTATGATATTCACAAATAATGAGATAAAATATAAACTACAGATGGTGATTATTTTATTTCATAACTTTAATTGTAATACGATTATAACGGAGCAAGGTAGAGAATTACTTTCGAGATTTACATTTGAAGATATACGGTTATTATAAATATAGGTTTAAAAATATTATACTTCATAAATTAATAATACTTTTAAACACAGTTAGTTATTTTTATAATTATTACCTATACTAAAAAAGTATTCTCCAAATAAATCACTATTAAACTAAAATAATTAAACTGACTGATTTTGAGCTAGCTAAAATAAATCTCTATTAAACTGGAGTAATTAAGTTGACTTAAGCTAACTAAAATATTCAGAATCTCATTAAAGAAGCAACGCGAAAAAGCTTTAGCAAAATTTCGATCTTTTCGAAGAAGATCAAAACATAAAGAAGTGTCTTTCATTACAATAAGTCTAAAATTGTAAGGGAATAAAATTGTAAGGCAAAGATGCAATAAATTTCTGCACGCGTGTTGCGAGTTTGATAGCTGTTTTATTTTTGGATTTGGATCGTAGGTTTCGAAGTGTACATGCATCTTTGCGTCATTTCTAAATGTCACTTTAAATGCCTGGTGACATTACCAGCTATTACTGTGCTAGCGGGTGTCGGTGCATAGGTACGTGTAAACGCATCTACGATAATCATTCTTCTGCTCGCAATCGTCCACGTGCAACATCGTCACGCGAATTTCACGTAAACGCTAACGGGATCAACACCTCGTCTAGTGCACGCGGCTAACGGAAACCGTGATCGCCACGCATTTATCGAAACGCGAAGATTTCGTGGGATAGTGCTTCTACGATCTATCGCGGCTTCATTTTTATAAAATAAAAGAATCACAGATGAGGAGATAAACGGGACACGCACTGAATCGTAGCTAACGGGAAACTCGCAGAGCGAACCGGTGCGTCCATTCGTTCGATTTCTGAGAAAACTTTATTGGAAAAAAAAACTTTATCATTCGACAACACAAGAACGTCGAGCAATTTCTTATTTATTTTTCTTTAATTCCTTTTTATAAGAAGATATTTGTTCTCCTCATAAAAAAATTTAAAAAGCCTTTTAACAAGCTTACCACAAATTCCTAAAACTCCATTATCCTAAAATTCTATGCCTTTTCTCTGATTTTCAGACACATGATTTTGTTCCGATATTTTCAATAGTATTTCGAAATTTTTTATAGTTTCGCTCTGATTTGGAAACCATCAAATATTTTGTTGAAAGAGCAATTTAACATAGCAATGTAAATTACTATTAATACTGCTGACATACTTGACAATTGTTAAGTAGAACGTGATGTATACATATTAAATTTCTATAAAGCCAAGAATTTTAATTCTTCAGAAAATTTTGTAAAATAATCCGACTCTTTTTCCTGATTTTCCTGACCGTTTTCAATTTCCCTGATATTTCCCTGATTTCCTTGATATTCGGTTTTGTAGTATAACTCTAATGCGTTCTTTCATTGTGACAGGATTAGACTCGTATTCAGTCTTTGTTATACGTTGTCTGTCATGATGAAAATTGCAAAATGGTAGAGGACTTTTTTTCTCAATTTAGTCTATTCTGCCCCTATGCGAAAGATTTATCATTATTTTTCGAACACCCTATATATATTAGGTTGGAACAAAATTTCATAACGCTATTTCATTTGTATTATATTCATTTATATTCTACATGTTTTTAAAAAACTTTGGCAAATATAACATTCGATAGAGCAAAGTTTCAGTTTAAAAAAATCTGTTTTTTAAAGTTGTACAATGATTTTTAATGAATTACGAGCAAAGAATGTATTAGATGTACAGTCCCTGCAAAAAAAATTAAATTTGGAAATATGTTTAATATATTTACACTTTAAATAAACTATATATATATAAAAATATTGTGTGAATAAGATCATGTTTAATAACACATTTTTATAATTTATTAATTTTATTTGTTATTATTCTTATTGTTAAAGATTAAAATTTAAAAAATGATAAAAAAACTTACATTTTTCTTTTATAAGTACTTTAAATATTCAAAATAATTTATGCAAAGTTTCATTGTAATTCACTGATTAGTTGTAAAGATAGAACGAATAAATATTTTATTTACTGAACAACTAGTTGCATGCATCGCAATGTAACTCTACGTAAATAATCTTGAATACATAATGTACTTATATTAAAAAAATTGAGATTTTTATCATTTTTTTTGTAATACATTTCTATATATTTTTATTAGGACATAAATTTAAAAAAATACTACTATTTATTAAAATAATTTATGATCTAGATAGTAAACCGTTACCAAATTTGTCATATTATTTTTGAACATGATTTAAAATAATTTATAATTTTTTCATAATTTTGTTAACATTTTGAAAATATGTATAAAACACACACACATCCTTAAAGTCGAAATACTTCTTTTATCCACGATAACGAAAACTCTTAAGAATATTTTTAAAAAACCGATTTTTTATTTTAAACTTTAGTTAGAGAGTCAAACATTTTCACAAGATCTCTTGAATACGTGACAGATCCGAATTTCATGACAGAAAATTGTTGGAGATTCCACAATCATCTCTTTTCCCTCAGCGATAAATAATGTATTGAATCAATATGTATTGAAAAACTTGCCCAAGAACTAAGATGTAAATTAAAAATATTAATTTGACGCAAGTTGTTTTCCTTTTAAGAGACACTCGACATAAATATCGTTATTATCTTTGTTATTCATTGAATGCTAAGAAGGTTAGAACGACGTTCGTGTTTTCTAAAAAAAACACAAACATAAGTATGCAACTTGTTTACGATCAACAAAGGAAAGGTCTGAGAATAATCATCAAAACACCTGAATATGTATCGGGATGCCACGTGACTCATATCTGTTTTCGTTTCTCTTTTATTATCCTACTTTTTTCTTTCATCTTTTTCGCTACAATCATAATCTTTCCACTCGAAACTTCTTACTACGAATTTTATGTTCGAGTAAAAATTTACAATTCTATTTCTCAAAGAGAGAGAGAGAGAGAGAGAGAGAGAGAGAGAGGCCAAAGACAGAAAATATCAAATTGGGAAATTTGCTCCGAGACGACGGGGACTTAAAAACGTGCGCAATTAAAACGCGTCGAAATTGGCGCGAGAAGTCGCTCGTCTTCGAATGCTCCGATGTGCAGAAGGAAGAAACGTGGCCGACGAACCAGACCAGGTCATGAGCGTGTCGCGCGCCGCCAGTGTGTAAGGCATTTAATAACAGGCCGGTTTTTCGCTCGATCCGGCCGCCGGCGCGAAGTGTCGCACGCGCGCGCGCGTATGTGTGTGTGTGTGTGTGTGTGTGTGTGTGTGTGTGTGTGTGTGTGTGTGCGTGTGTGTGTGTGTGCGTGCGGCACGCGGATAAGCCGCAGACGCCGCGGTAGGACGGACTTTGAGAATGGATGCTTACTTTTCTTCGAGTCCTGGCGGGAACGCGATCGCCGGCTTACAGCGTAGCAGATCACGAGGACGATTCCACCGGCGATCAACGTGGCGAGCAGCATCATCAGGCCGGGCACGCTCGCGCTCTCCAGCACGTTAGTCGGACACGTCGTGTTCTCCATCTTCGGCCGCGTGCGAGACGGTTTGATTCAGCCGGCACTTGTCGTCGCGAGCCACACGCGTTGACATACAACGGAACGGCACACACCCTCGCACACGCAGTTAACGCGGAGCACATGCGCGCGAGCGCGCACGTGTGTTGGCTCTCAACTGGGAAAAGCCACGGAAAAGCCCTCCGATACGAGGGACACCACGCGACACAACGGACTCACGGATCTGCGGCGACCGCCAAAACCAATGAAATCAGCGGGAGGGTATGCGTATATGTGTGTGCGTATTGTTATCCCGCATTCGCCAGTCCTCATGTACAGACGTACATGCAGCGTGTGCGCGCCCGGCGTGTACGGCGTAAGCGTCGTAAAAGCGGCTGTGCGTTCCAAAAGACCACGTTACATGAGCAACGGGCCGACGCGACGGCCGTAGAGCGTACGTTTCGTAGATCGTCAAATTGTCGAGTGACTGCGCGCAATCGCTTTCCTCGCGGAGTACTCCGCGCGCAGATATCACGTGATCGACAGAATCACGAAGCACGAGTCGCGGAGTAAACGTGACTCTCGCCGTGAAAGTTTCAACCGATTAAGTTTGTTTTCTCCTCGAGTATTACGAATCACCGAATATAATCGCTCGGCGATTAAAAAAACCGATCGCACGGCGACGGTTCTTCCCTCTTTTTCGTTTTCTTTTTTTTTCCTTTTTTTTTCTTTTTACTGTCGTGTTTCTCTTTTTCGTTTTTGACGCACGTTTCGTTTTAACTCGCCGTTATTGTCAATTCAAACGCGTCTGAACGTTGTCGCTATTAACGCGTTTGAACATTGCTGTGATTAACGCGTCTGAACGTTACCGTGATTAACGGGTTTGAACGTAGTCGCTTATCGTTCGCGCGGGAAATTTCGAAGTCCCGCTCCGCGCCTTCTCGTGTCTTGGCACGGCACGCGCGATACAAAATACGATACGTACATATCACTCGAGGTCCGTGTGGCAATTTAAGCACGCGCGATCGCATCCTCCACCGTCGGGGTCCACTCGTCCGCACGGCCGTGACTCTCGTTCGATTGCGCCGGTAGCCCGATTATCATCCGCACGTGCACGCGCATCGACGGGGTCCACGCTGTCTCGTTGTGGCGTCGCGTTGATATAAGAGGAGCCATCGACCACTATTCCACGGCGCGGCCCCGTTAAATGGTACCATTCGATCCTTTCGTTACCGTTTGTATATAAAAATCCTCGTGTCTTCTCATTCACTTCACGTCGTATCTATTCTGACATTTCCCGATGTCCCCTTCCCACGTATCGTGTCGTCGTGTCGTAAAAGTAGTTAAAAGGCGGATCGCGACTTACATAAGCGCGACAGTGGCAGCGACGAAGACGATGATGCGCGCACGGACTCGGGCCGTATAATAAACCGCAGTCCGCGGGACGGTGACGCGAAGCGACGGTGACGCTCCTCTCCTCCCGCGAAACGACTTGGCTCGTATTTGTCACGGCGAGTCATCGTGCGCCAGTATATACCGTTTCGTGGAACCGCGTCTCCCGAAGCGCGCCGACCCCTACCGCGTCGTCCTCGTCTTTTCTCCTTCTCTATTCTCATGCGTGACGACAGATCGCGACGCACGACCCGACCGCGACGTCCGCGACACTCGGAATTAATGAAATCAACAAAATCACTGAGCTCATGTCAAATACACCGAACACAGTTAGTTCATTGGCCATATTACTTCTAATTTAAAGAGTTAGAATCATAATAGAGTCAAAATGACGTCGAAATTGCAAAATAATTGTTTTATTAGTTAAGATACGTTTTGACGTTATCGTGAATAGTTCTTGGAATTTATACAAACAGAACTCAAGTCACTAAGCATGACTTCAAAATAACATCAAAATTATCTCAAGATAACTTGAAAAAAAAGTTGCTTTTCTGTTAATTAAGATTCATTTTAATAGTATTTTGATGTTATCGTTAATTGTTCTATTTGAAGTTCATACAAACAGAACATATCAACATCAAAATAACGTTCCATAAAATGGTTCCAAGATGTTTACTAAAAATTAGTTCTCAATTAGTTAAGATTTATTTTAACGTTATATCATGATGTGTTTTATTTAGAGATTTATGCAGAATTAATCATTAAAATGACTCCAAAATGATCACTACAAAATTATAGTCTGATTCACGCTCACAATTTTCGTAAACATCATTTGTTCTTGTTAAAGATTTGGTAAACAACAATGAAATAATTCCAAGAGTATTGTGAGCGTAAATCGGACCGAGCCTAAAAGTCACTTTTCAGTAATTTACGATTCATTTTAACCTTGATTTTAACGTCATTTTGACATTGTTTTATCGTGAGTTGTTCTGCTTGAGCAAACATCTCTTTTAAATGAAAAGAAAGAAAGAATTATAAGACTGTATTTATAAATGATTTTTATATTTGAGTCTTGATTACATCTTTAGATATCAGAAATCAATCACAGAGCAGTATTAACATTTTAAGACATTACTTGAGACGATATAAAAATAAGAACGAAATAAGAACGGATTATGAACGACCTGAAGAATCGGAATTATTCGAAGAATCGATCAATGAAGCTCTATTTCCGCATTTTGAGACGTGACTGTCATATATTAATTACCAACCATTTATATAATTACGATAAAATATGTCTACAGTAAGAGCAAAAAATATTCGTACAAGGAAATTTTTTATAAAAAAAGTCTTATTTGTAGAAAGTAAACATTAATTAACAATTTTATACAATAAATACATTCTGTTCTAATATGTTTATGAATACATTCTGTTTTAACATATTTAAACGAGCTTCGCATATATTTCTGATTTTAGAAGCTAAATTTCTTGACGAATACTTTTTGAGCATCGAAATAATACAATTTTTAATTTTCGTTTTTTTTTTCAGATGATATATTTTCTATAATTAATATCTTTTTGGTATATATAATTTTAAGAAATGTACAGTCGATTTTATCCTTTAAATAAATTATTAATTACCTAGCAAGAAATAATCGTCAGTTAAACGTCGAATCGATGTCAAATTGGTGTTGAAATCATTGATATTGATTCGATATCAGTTCGATGACTCATTTCTCGCTTAATAATATTTTTAAAAAATAAAACTTTTAAACAAAATATTTTCTCTGTACAAATACTTTTTGCACTCACTATATATGCATCTATAAATATATAATTAGCGTTCAGTTCGAGGTTTAATTCCGAGCATGTTTTGAAATAGAAACTTTAATCACTACAAAAATACACATTTCTTTTCTCAACGTTTAATAATCAAAACCTGGTTTGAGATGACGAAGCGATCTTCGCGTTTGAGGCGACGACTATCACGTGTCGGTCACAGCGATTCATAATTACGATAAATTATATATCTATGTGTCAATAAACATTGTCCAGTTTATTACGAACGTGCAGTTTTGACACTGAAACTTTGATTGCTACAAAAGTGAATATGTTTTTTTTAACGTTTGCAGTAGGTTACGTTACGACTAGAAACATTTATAATCCTAAGCAGCATAAAAAGTTATGATGTTAAAATAGCGTCAAAATAACTTCAAAATAATTATTAAAAGTCTTTTTAAGATCAGACAGGATTCATTTTAATATCATTTTGACGTTATCATGATCTGTTATTCTGTTTGAGATAACTTAAACATGTGTCTATAAAACTGTCGAGGCCTCTAAAGAGCACTCTCTCCACAAAAATCTGAATTTGAAAATCTAATTTTAGATAGCAAATCTCGATTTAATTTAAATTTACCTATATACATATAGAGACTCTAATAAAGAATCTGAATATGAAACAGCCAGTTTTGATTGGTTTGCCATGTTTTATCAATTCCTGAAAGAGAAAATGTGTTAAGAAAAAGGTAGGACAAAAAGAGAAAGAAGTAGTGAATATATGTTCTCTTCTTTTTCGCATAATTTTACTAAAACTAAAGGTTTATATGCTAAAGGCGTGAATAGTTCGAATTTAAATCAAATTGAATCCACTCAATTAGTTTTCAAATCCGAGAACTTTTTTTTTCGAATAAGTTCAAAATTTTGAATCATCGGTGATTCAATTTCGAATCAATCGCTTATTTTATTTGCTTCATTTCTGCACGATTCTCGAAAATTGAAAATTTTTTTCATGTCTATTTAAAAAATCTGGAACGTTATTGAAAATACCTTATTATTTTCAAATTACTTTTAATATAAATCCGGAAAAATTTGATGCGAATTGGATTCATTTTTAAATAAAATGATTCGATTCCCAGGTAGCATCTATTCATATACATTTCATATTTTCTAAACGTATTCAATATTCTACAAACGTTTAAGAAACGTATAGAAACCAACTTGTGCTACCTGAATTTGGTTCGATAAATATTCGATTCGATTCATTTTCGAACATATATTATCAAAGATTCGATTTAATTTGATTTGACCTCACAAATATATGATTCGCAAATATATGATTCAGCTCTGCTGCATATAAAATGTCCTCTTTTAGAGAATGTCTAATATAAACTGGGAGAGAGCGTTTTTTTCTCGCGTGGCAATTATTAACCACCTCGTTTTATTCTCATAATCGGTAGTTCTCATAATTATGTTACCTCGTTATCACAAACACATAACGGCTTGGATTAACAATGCAGCTTCCAGTCGGAAGCGTTATCTTCTTGGAAATAAACTTTATTCGCAAAAAAGAAAAAAATCAATTTATCGGCTTTTTTTCTTGAATTCACGTCAATCCTGTCCAAATGTCACAGGTTTTCCGTTTCATTCCGAGAAGATTCACCACGTCATGCAAACTGATAAACGGCCTAAAAACAATACGCATCATCATCTTACGTCGCTTTAGCATGACAAAACTTTACGATATTTTTACGTGGCGCAGCATGAAGACGCAGCGGAAGCTTTCCATGAAAAACACGATTGTCCTTCGATCCAGTGTTTTTTTTTCCTTGCTCGCGAATTTCTATGCGCATGTAAGACACATATCGTAATAAAAAAAAGATTATGAAACGCATTACGTCCATGGATTAAATAATTATCCATTTTACTAATTTTATATAAGATGAACATTCGGGAAAATTTCTTATTCTTGATAAATGGAAGCTATAGAATGATCGTTATCCTCCCATAAAGATACGAAATGAATATCTTGATCGAAAATTTTGTTATTTGTCTGTATACTATGTTTATATTTATACATTGAAATGGTGAATTTTAATAAATATTTGTTTGATTAGTTAAATTTAATTATCCTTTATATACATATCCTTTTATATACTATAACAATGTAAGTAAATGTTTATTTAATATTATTCAAAGAAATATGTATTAAGATTTAGTAAACTTTTTTTCAATGTATTGTATTATTATAGACTTAGGTCTCAATGAGCAGCATTATGCTGATACTTCATCCTTTGCAGCTTTCTCTAATTTATTTTTTAATGTATGTATACTCATACTTCTTTTGTCACTTACGCTTTTTAAAATAAAGACTATTATTATTTTAAATGCTGATAAATCGATCTTTAACCATTTGCGTTTAACATTCTCAGATAGCAAGCTGACGTCATTTATCGTCATTTTGACGTCGAAATGATGTCAGCTTAGGAATGTTAAACACGGACGATCAAAAATAAACGTTCGATTCAGCGTTCAAAATAATAATAATCTGTATTGGTATCTTCACTTAAATCGATATAATTATCAGACCACTTTTTGCTCGCCGTGCAAACTATCTATTGTAAGTGGATGGTGGAAAGACGAAAATACGAATATAATAATATCGATTTGTTTCGATCGAAGATTTTAAACGGCGACAAACCGAGCGTTCAACATTTGATTCGGTATAATTATCCGTTTTCCACTCGACGTGCAGACAATCTATCGTAAAATGGTTTCGGAGTGGCCACGGCAGGATGCATTAAATATCCAATCCGTTATTCGCCCCGTTACTTTTCTCTATTTCAAACGCCTTCGTCCTCGATTCTCGACTCTCACGTTCGAGCTCGAGCACCGTGTCAGCAACGGGTACCGTAGAAGTAAAACGATAGATAGGGGGATAATTGTAGATGCAAAACATCTCACAAAAGCATAATGGTCGACAGAATTAATAAAGTTAATGATGAAATTATTATTTCTATTTCAAGTGTCAGTAATCAGACTGGCCGATTTGGCTGCGCTGATATCATTTCTCGTGCAAGAAATAATAAAAATTGCGACGACGACTTTGATCAAGTCCAGCTAACTTAATGGAGTGAATGAATTATTAAGCAATTAATATCAACAATGTTTTATTAATAATTAATTGTTTGATAATTGGTTGACAAATTAGATTAGGAAAGTTTACGAATATATAATTTATATTTATAATCGGAGATTTGTAAGCATGATAATTGTAAGCAATTTTATTTCAGTTAAATTCGTCGCCGATAGAGTTGGATTTCAATCGAATCAATAAATCTTGAATTTTTTTTCGTCAATCGCTAGTTTGGCCATCTGATTCATCTCGTGTCGTGGAATACTTTATTTCGCTTTTTCTTTATTGGATTTGTAGCACATATATGAAACATGCGTATAAAATGGTATTGATAGAATCACGTTTGAGATCAGGTTTTCGTTTATTTACAAACAGATTTCCTCGATTTGTGTGAACAATCAACAATTTCCTGCTAAGACTCGTCTCAGTGTTTTTTGATATATCTTTTTTCTTTAAGTAGACGCGATCAAAAGAATTCTAATATAACTAATTTAAATTTATCAAGCAATATCCATAGTCGCAATCATATAAAAAATTCATTGCTGAGTGATTTGAAAACAGACACGAAGAAATATAGTATAAAATTGAAAAAGTAGATTTGGAAAAAATTGATTTTAGCAAGAAATGCAAATTAATGAATCGATGTCATTTTGACATCAGTTGGATGAGATCAATAATTAATATTAATGATCATTATTTATTGGGATATTAATTGTCAGTTAACGTCGTATTTTAAATGTCGTAATTATCTGTCTAGTAATATTTAATAACATTACTTTAAGTTTTTTTTTTTACTTAATGAGAGGATCAATTATACATTTATAATAAAAAATGATCTTTAACTTTCTCTATCCTGTCCACTTTATATTGAACATGATGTGTGGAACTATTTCTTATTATTCTCCTTATTCCTGAACTAAGTGCACTTTTTTCGCAGAAACATATAAATATATATTATATGAATAACCATAGCACATTGAGCTCAGATTTGTGAATTTGCTAAACCTAAATGATTGTACTGAATGTCAATTATTTTTCCCTAAAAAAATAACATTTAGGGCGGTATTCATAGTCGAATCTTATATTTAAGACCAGTCTTAAGTATAGTTTTAAGATATCATAGACTAATTAAAGGCTGGTATACATAATCTGTTCTTATATTCAAGATCGTCTTAAGTTATTCGTCTTAAGCCTTGAGATGTCATGAACCAATCAGAAGGCCGGTATTCATAGTCGGTTCTTATTTTAAGACTATCTTAAGTAATGTCTTAAGTCGCTAATGCGGCCCTCTGATTGGTTCATGACATTTTAAGACTTTACTTAAGACAAATAAATATTAAATATAAGATCCGATATGACTATGAATACTGGCCAGAGGGCCGCATTAGTGTCTTAAGACATTACTTAGGACGGTCTTGAAATAAGAACCGACCGCCCTTAATATATTTTTTATTATTTAGAATTTATAGAAATATATGTATACACGACACGAGCGATGAGTCACTCCATATTTAAGATATAAATATATAAAATGTCAAGTGACACGCTCTAGCGGTGATAGTACGCACCACGTTTCGATATAATATCGTCGATAAGAAAGTGTGGCAATTCACAAAATTCAATTCAAATTGTTCCGATTATTCTAATTATTTTATTTGCAGTTTGTAACTCAACTTTTTAATCTTTTTCTTATTCAACACTCAAATATACATTTTTCTCGTCTTGAATATAAATTACGGAAACCATTAATTATGCGAATATAAGATTGTGACAAGCCGGTATTCATAGGTTCTTATTTCAAAACCATCTTAAGTAATGTCTTAATGCTAATGCGGCCCTCTGATTGGTTCACGACACCTCAAAACTGAACTTAAGATATTTTGAATATGAGAACTAACTATGGGTGATCCACTTCATTCTGCAAATACTTTAAAGCATTCTTTGATTGGTAATTCGTAAAATTTTTTCTTCTGATTTTGGTTAACGAAGTATTTGCAACATTAAGTTCACATCCTATATGAATATTACTAAACAACCAAAAAGCCGGTATTCATAAATCCGTTCTTATTTCAAGACTGGCCAATATTTTTTATAATCGATTTCTATATTTAAACCTAAATATAGTTCCAAAATTTCACGATCCAATCAGAAGGTGATATTCATAATCGGTTCTCTTATATATATATATAAAAGTTATTTTAAGTACAGTATAATAATCTTCAGATATGACGAACCTGATCTATCTTTCTTATCTGCAAGACTGTCTTAATACTATATATACGTCTTAAAATACTATAAATTAATCAGAAAACCGCATTAACATTTTAAGATATTACTTAAGACGGTCTTAAAATAAAAACGGAATATAAATATCGGCCTTATGACTGGTATTCATAATCGATTCTTATTTTAAGATCGTCTTAAATAATGTTTTAAAATGTTAATACAGTTCTCTGATCGTGACATCTTAAAACTGTACTTAAGATCATTCTAAATATAAGATTCGACTAATATCGCCTTATGAATACCGGCTAAAGAGCCGTTCATTTGATAGCTAGAGATTTTAACGTTCCACCGATGGCAACACGCGGCAGTAAGAATCCATGAAGAAATATCTGATTGGCTATTGAGATCAGCCGAAAGCATAACTCTCGATTGGCCGACGTCGCGATATCGCAGTCTCATTCGATGGCAACCAATTTGTAACCAAAAACATTTCTTTTATTACATAATATTTTCGCGGAATAACCGGCGAAAAGTCCGTAAAACTACCAAATCGGTCGTCGTAGAACGAACAGCGCAGATCGCGTCACGTCGAATCGATTTCCGGCGAGTTTCCAGGAGCGCTAGAATGGCGTTGAGATCGATTTGCCGGCTGTCAATTGATTCGACCTTCAGGCAGTCGAGCCATTTCGGAGCCACCGCCCGGCCGAGACGACCGTCCTTTGACACGCTCCTACGAAGTTTTGCCGCAGCAGCTAAGAACATGGCACTGCCACGCGTTTTCTTCGACATGACCGCGGACGACAAGCCCGTGGGCCGCATCGTGATGGAGGTGAGCCGAAATTATCGTGCGATCGCGGCGTAAAGTCGTCCCCGCTCCGACCGCGCTCCTTGTGATCCCGGCATGCCTGGCCATCTTGATTTTTCCATCGTGCCGGTTCCAAGATTTAACCGGGTTTGCATCTCGCGTGACGATCATGAACGATCGTTCTCATCCACGTTGTCACCGTCGTTATCGTCGTACGAATGTGATACCGAATAATCGACAGCTGATGGACGCGATCGGCGACTGTCGTCGCGAGGACGCGATGTCGCGATCCCGCGGAGTCACGCCGAGCGCGCGACCGTCGTTGGCGATGCGTCACGGTCGTGCGACCACGCACACCGCACGCTTTGGCCATTACATTGAAAAATTTTCCATTGACGACGAGCAACCGGCCGGATTATCCGCGACGTTCGTCCGCGTGCGTACCGGGAGAGACGTATGCGCGTAATTTACATCGCGGATCGAGGAAGTCGCAATTTGCAATTTGTAGAAGATCGGCGAATATATCATAATTACTCGATATTGAGATAAGCATGTAAAAAAAGTGATCCACGCGCTCATAGATTATTATACAATTTAGTAATATGATTAGATAAGATTCTTTTTTCTCATAGTTTTTTTCTTTTTCCAAAATATAAATTTATGCGATCGTTATATTTTATATTTTTCTTTTTATAAAGATAGATTTTTCTTCTCTCGTGAAAAAAAGATTACGACGAATAAAAGTACTGTGTATTTATCGGTGTGTTATATAATTAGCTTCTTTACGCTACGCTAAACATAGACTTTTGCACACGATGGCAATTTTCATATTTTTATGCATAATGCAGAAGAATCAGCTTTTTAATATGCGAGTTTAGAATTTTAAACACAGATGGCGACAGCTGGAGCAGTAGTATATATTTATCTTCTATCACGTTTTCCTTTTAATATTTCTTTATAAACTAATTTATAAAAGCTAAAAATAATTTTTTCTTGTTGCCTTACCAAGGCATAAATTGTGCAGGAGTGCTTAGCATGTTATATATTTTTATTAATGTATATAGAATACTTATACATATATATTATATGATAATTATATATATATATATATATATATATATATATAGTTATGTATTATAATATATTTATATTATGTATTTATGTATAGCATAATTTTATTGAATACAAATTAAATATCTAGAAATGTTAATCACATACTTTCGATATAATTTTCTAGTTGAGGAAAGATGTTGTTCCCAAGACAGCGGAAAACTTCCGCGCGCTTTGTACTGGAGAAAAGGGTTTCGGATACAAGGGTAGCAGTTTCCACAGGGTGATTCCGAATTTCATGTGTCAGGGTGGTGATTTTACCAACCACAATGGCACCGGCGGAAAATCCATCTATGGCGCCAGGTTCGAAGACGAGAACTTTAAGTTGACTCATACCGAACCTGGTATACTATCTATGGCAAATGCTGGCCCCAACACTAACGGCAGCCAGTTCTTTATCACCAGTGCCAAGACCAGCTGGCTCGACGGAAAGCACGTCGTGTTCGGAAAAGTCACCGAAGGAATGGATGTTGTTAGAAAAGTATGATTTTCCTTCTAGAGATATTTCTTACAAGCAATTAACACTCTTGTTACACTCATGTACTCTTGTTATATTATTATATTCTTTTATTTGAAAATCTTAGATCTTCAATACACAATTTATTTATTCAGTTACTTCAAACTCTCTAATTGTAACTTATTTATGAATTTAAAATTTGTTTGTGGAATAAGGGAATCGAACCTGAATTATTTAGTTACCTTTATTATTTAGTCTGCTGTTTTCATATGAAGCCACATCTTATTCCAATATTGAATCTTTTAACTCTTTATTTATAAAAAAACAATAATATTTTCTTTCTTAAATATCCTTCTATAAAGACATTTAAGTTTTAAATTAGTAAAGTCGAGAGAATATTGAATCTAGATCTTTCACTTGATAGGTTAACTTTTTAAATATTTATTAGCTCAGCTAACATGCATTATTTATGTTTTCTTTTTAGTTGGAGGCTATGGGTTCTCAAAGCGGCAAGACATCCAAAAAGATCATAATAGCGGATAGCGGAGAGTTTTAGATCAACTAGATACTGTAATGACTGCATTTTTATTTAGCTGTTGCATATCTATTTGCTGTCTTTATTGCCCTACTTCATCCATTCCTATCGACCAAGATTCTCTCATCGCCGCTAATAATTTGTTACCGAGCACGAAAATTCAAACTTATATAATTTTGTATAAATGAAAAGAAATTGCCTGCATAATATTTTTTTTCTATTTTATTTTAAGTAAGTTCACTTTTTTTGGCTAAAGAATAGAGAATTGTTTGCAGTGATTTTTTTTATAATGAATTTGCTAATTTTGAAATTTCCTTTGCTTCATTTCACGATCAGTACACCGTGTTTTTATAAGAAATCTGTATTAGACTTTTGTGCGAAATCCATATTCTTCCACGAATACACGCTTAGTATCGCTAAGTGATATAGCAGAAAAACACATGCAATGAGCTCAAATTTTACAATTACCATCCTACATTTTAGTGAGTGTTCAAAATATGAATATCTTCAATATTAGGATAGGTATTTCAGAGATTAAAAATCAGTGATTGATGTATTGATTCCAGTGTGTTAACCGATGCATTTCTCTTTAACGTTATATATTTTAATTTTACATATGTATAATACATATAAATGTATAACACGATTAGAGAATTCTCATTGTATGTTTTTTTTATAAATATACCATTCCTCTTCTTTGCCGAAAATCAAAGGCATCCCGCATCGCCTATCGTAATACAGGCAATGCCTGAAAGCGATACCATCTTACTGTAATACAACACCAAGTTGAAAAATGTAGTTGCAACAGTCCGAAAAGTTTCGATTTCTTAAAAATAAAATTGTTTTCAGAAAGAAAAATAGTTGTACGTTATTCGCACCATTTATTATAATTTTCAATAGCTATATTGGATAGACTATACTCGATTTATATATCTCCTCTAGAGAGATAAACTCTTCCAAGATAAATATTTTCCTGAAGAAACTATTCAGATGGACATGGCATCTAATCCTTTCTTATCCTTTATTGCGACATCTAAACTAAGGTTGGGAAGTCGATATATGAATAATACACTGTTTGCAACATTTACGATCAACGTATATTTTACTTTTTTTTTATATTCATGTTTCATCAATCTGCTGCGAGAACATTGATAGAACGTACAGCACCAATATATACAACTTTAGGACACTTCGATAATCTAATAACATACGAACAGATGATGCACTATTCTAAACAGTATGCAAGCGGATTTTATCCACGCTTTTCGAACACAACCATAAGGATTATAACGAGGCTCATTTGTCAATTAATTTTATGATTTTTTTCATATTGTTACTAAATTAATATAAATTTATTCACCTTCTCTCGCTCTAAATCAATCGAATATTCTTATCAGGGGATTAAAGAGTCATAAATATATATCTATGTTAATTCTGACGCAAATAACAAGTATTTGTTTTTTTTCTCATTCTTTCAATCTCGCCAATGATTAATTTTAGTAGAATCATATAGGGAATTAAGGATTAAGGATTACGATATTCAGAAAAAAACTTGCTATCTGCGTCAGAGATTACTTATTCAAGTTTATTACTCAATCCAGTAAGACAAAATAACACTTTTGGTCTTTTAATTATTTCGTTTAATAATTTGTACTTCCGTCTTTATTTTATATATTTGCTTACGCTGCTTCTCGTCCAATAATTTTTATGTGATATGAAGGAGAACTATAGACTTAGGCGGATTTATATAGACTCTGATTACCAATCGAAGAACATTAAGTTATTTTTACTCTATTCACATCATATGTTTTTCATAAATGAGTTCTGAAGTTCATATAGATCAAGATAATCACATTACGCAATCAATTCCGTATAGATTTCAAAATTCTCGATAACAACAATTATTACTTTTGAAACATTTTTCAACATTGATATATCAAGAGACGTATAAGTATCGAAATAATGCGTAATCTATAAGTCACACCGTTTCATTTAGACATTTTTTATTGTAAATTTTCAAATAAATTTGTATGACTGTGTTATTTAAAGCGACACATAAATTCACACTTATTACATTCTGAGCTACTAATTTAATATAAATTGAAGAGGTTTCAAATTCTTAATAAAGCAGCATGAACATGAGGAACCATGTCTATTGTCATTCTAATCACACCGCAACGGAGCGAGACTAGATCAATAAAATTATTGATTGCACATCGACCAAGAAATACTAATTTAACCACTGGAAATTGCATTCAGTACACTATTGTTCGACTATTGTCAGATATTCTAAGAACAGAACACGAAGAATTCTCTGAGAATTAAAATATAATTGAATGAGAAAAAATTTGAATATATATAGAAAGATAAAGTATTTTTTCTATTTCAATAGAGAAAGAATTTTGCTGTAATATCTATAAAAAATTTAGATAGATACGGATCTAAGAATAATTTTGTCAAATGTTAGACTATCAAAATAATTATGTTATTAGAAAACTCAAGCATGATGAAAGCAATACTGCAAAAAGTTTTGACATTCTAGCTAGCAGCCAGTTTGAGCATCCTACGTAATTATTTTGATATTCCAATAAAATCATTAGATTATATCTAGCTAAATTTTTAGATATTTCAATTCCTTCCTTTAAGTTTCCTTACAAAATTTAAGAAAACAAAATTATCAAATACAAGCACAATTAAGAAACAGAATAAAACTGGAAAATATATGTTTGCAGGACATATCGTGATATTCAGCTCCATTCATAGTTTTCATTTATGACTCTGCTAGATGTGTGTTTAATTAATTTGCATCTCATTCGCTATATTCTATCTTTGAAACATAAAATTCTCGAGAGACTGCGACATGAATATCTTTTACATTTCTGCTTGAAACATACACGCGCACATCCACCCACTCATACTACACATACACACAGCAACGTGTATACACCTTGTGCATATCGTTACTGTAGATTGTTATTAAATGTACATGATGATTTTTATACACATATCTCTACATATATCATGTACTTCTATATCAGTGGCGGTTCGTGCGGTCGAAATAATGTCGAGGAACGTCGAAAGGAACAGGAAAACAGATAGCAATCCGATTAATGAAACAAGAAGAAAGACAGATGAAATTATCACCTTGTATATATATATATATATATATATATATATATATACTATAATTAATATAACGTGTGCATCTCCTTTGACCCGCAAAGGATAGACTAACGTTTATCCACATTATCTGCGTTAAAATGTATGAGAAACTTAGCACAGAATATTCTCTTATTATATGTCACACATAATTTTATCCTATAATTCTTTCGTATTATAACGTAACATTATCTGCTCGCGACAACTTAAAATGACATATTGCTAAAAATAATTGTCCCTTATGAAAATAGTTCTATAATCGATTTTCTCGATATTTGCACTATCAATAAAAATTATATAGCGCGTATATATATCCCATTGTGTGCGTAACTGCTTTGTGTTTCGTTCATAATCAGGATAGACAAGGATAGATCGCGTTATCTATCATTTCGTAGTGATCATGGGTCAATCAGTCGCAAAATATGTATAGGTACATACAATCGGAATAAAGCCATACGGAGAGCGAAAATAGTCCGTACATATCGAACTCAATATTTACGTACTACGCAACATATTGGCAAAGGCCTTTAGCCTTTGTAAATTGCCATATTTAACGATATCAATTTCTGTAAAAATTAAAATTATGAATATTTATTTATCAATAAATGTTACGTTAAACATTGATTTCTATTTACTCTTTAAATGAAATATCGTATAAGGCCACTCTTGATGAAAATTTTTCTCAGAATTTTTCATATAATTTTTCAGAAGTTTTATATAATTTTATAACTTTCTCATATTTTTTGTACGAATTGGAACACTTCTCAGAAAATCTACATCTTCTCTCAGAATTTTCCATATATGTTAATTATGAAATATCATAAGATTTTTAAGAGTTTTGTAAGTATAATTTCTGATGAAATATTGTAAAATCTAAAAAATTAAAAAATATTTTTTTAAATTATGGAATGAGAAATCTCAGAATATATTTCAGAATTCACATGTATGAAAAAGTCTGAGAGAATATGTAAACTTTCCGAATATTTCTGAGTATTTCTGAAAAATGATTTCCAATTTGTATAAAAATTATAAGAAAAATTTTCACCAGACCATAAACAAAATTTCGCATTATCTTCTATGGATTTATTACGAGTTTCTATCTTGTTTCCTTCAGAATAGGATTAACCCAAGAATAGTCATTTGATTTCTTTTTACATAAATAATCTGAGGTGTTTTTACATCCGAATTATAATCACTATTATTAACAAAAAATTGTATATTATTGATTATTTTCCGATTTGTTAGTATTTGAGAACATTATGAATATGGATTTAATCACAATTTTCTGAAAAATTAAATAGAAACCAAACAAATATTAAATGAAATAAGCACGTTAAGCTTATTGTGAGTTTTTTTAAAAGGTTTTTTAAAAAGAAATTTTAATTGTGTTTAATTTTAATTTTGATATGTAACAACTTTTTATTGCGGTTTTTGATGGAATTGTGTAAAAGTTTGTAAAGAAAAGTTATTAAAAAAAAAGAAAATATATTAAATATTCATAATAATATAATAATATACACAATATACATAAAACAATATTTTATAATTCACATTTTTGTACCGTTAAAACGTAAAGACATCTCAGGTGATCATTTCAATAAAAAAACTTGGAGTATATGAGAAGGAATTGTAAACATCTGAACGTACTTCATAAAAGATAGACTCGTGAAATAGTACGTTGAATTTTACCACGAAAAAAATACGTAAAAAAAAAATGACTGCAACATTTTCGATCAACTCGCAATCTTTCGCCGCTTTGATCTTCCTTCCCTCTTACTTTCTCCGATCTTTCTCCACTCTTCTCAATTTAAGAGAGTAAACAAGAGAACCATTCCAACACGGATCTGATTTGCGCGAGACTTAGTTCGGAATGTCGAACTTATTCGGCAAAAAAGAAATCAAATAAATAAATTGCGGCAGTGCAGCAAATAACTTGTACTATTGATTCAGTGGATCTTGTTTACCAACAAAACATATAAATCGTCGTAATCGCGAGAGATAGTCCGGCGATGGTACACTACTTGACGAAGAGGTCCTTTAGGGTGGAGCAGATCGAGTCGCAGTCCGATTGTTCCTGCTCCTTGTTCCCGCTCGTGAACCAACCGGCGACCTTACTGACACGTGACTTGTTCGGCGATACGGATGCCTTTCCAGATGAACTACCCGAAGCTTCCGCATCGTTTCCTCTGTGGCCCGAGGTGAGAATCTTCTCGATGGCATTACCAAGCACCTATCAATACCAAATCAAGCGAAAAATTTCATTTTCACGTGACCTTAGTCTCTTTTTTACGATGTATTATATATTTTGAATGCACAAATGAACATTTATACACTAACTCATAAAAAAAATGGACCACTGTGACATTACAGTGACCTATTTTTTTGCAGATGAATATATATAGGTACTGTATTAATAATGTTCATATGTATTAAATAACAGAATTTTGCGCAAAATTCTAATCATGATTTTTGTAAATACTTTTGTAAATACTAATTTTTAATGAAGAAACAATGTTTACTTTTTTATTGATTTTTCTATAAATAGTATATTTTTAACAATAACTTGCAATTCTTTTATATTAAAACCGGATTAAGCAAGCGAGCGTGAATAAACACGAATAAGCAACTTTCTTTTTTCGAGTGCGAATAATAATCTTTAACATAGAGTTCAGTTTTATGTATGATACACATGATGTATCATTTAATAAATTTTCTTCTTCTTTAATATTCGGCGAGCAACAAGGTGAAACGGAATGCATCATATTAATGCCGTTCGTAGCTTAACTAGTTCGGTTGAACGTACTAGTTAGTGCACTGCTGCACTGGTGCATATAAAGTCATGTACACTAATTTAATCTAAGGAGGACATGACGTTGAGGTCACTAATTTTAATCAAACTTGGTGAGAATATAGTGCACTCCCAACAACCGACGTGTGCCAAGTAAGAAGCACTATTAAAAAATAGGTGAGATCGAAATTGTAAATTCTATAGTTACTTAGGTTCCTTGACACTTGATCTATTTGTAAACCACCCAATTAATTCTGGTAAATGAGTCAAAGTAGCTCAATACTTTTTAAATTTTTTGGAGTGAAAGTTCACTCTATAAAAGTTCAAATACTGCTATTATTAAAAAAGAGTAAGAAATTTGCACTCTTCAATAAGAGTGGCATTTTACTCCTTTTTTTTTTGAGATTCATTCAAAAAAAGAGCGAAATTTCTTTTCTTCGAAATTCTTTTCTTACTCCAAAAGAATGAAACTACCTCTTATTCAAGAGTGCAAATTTTTCTTTTTCAATAATGACAGAAACTCTTTTAACTCTTTTAGAGTGGAATTTCACTTCACGAAACTTAGAAAATAGAAACACATTAAACTAAAAAAGAAGTTGCGGCAATAAGCTAGACTCACAGTGCGACAGTTTGTGTTTTGATATGTATGTTTTTATTTTTGTTCAATTTAAATGTTATTATTTATTTTTTTTATTATATATAGAATTATTTAAAACAATTGTGCAATAGAATGCGTAAGTAATTTAGATGTTACGTTTATTTATAATTGATGTAAATTATAATTTCTTGCTTATTTCTTAGTAGCGCCTATTTTTTAGTAATGAGAAAAATTTCTAGTTAAAAATGGACGAGTTAAAAATTTCTGATCATATTAATTGCAACTTTGTGGTTATCTCAAATAAATAATAGATTCAATCAGAAAATTCTGATTTGTCTGATTTTTAATCAAAATTCCAATTAATGCAACCAGACTTTTTTTTCAGCATACGTCTTACTGTCAATTGTTAAAAATATATTATATATCCCTATCAAGTTTGATCAAAATCAGATCTCAACATCATGGCCTCCCATAAATATATCAATAAAACGTAAATGTTTCGAATTATAAAATAGATATTTTACTTAACAGTACAATAAAGTATATTGATGATTTCGCGGTTTAATCCATTTGTATATTTATATTAAACATACATATTTAAGTAAATTTATATACGATGATTTCAATGTGCATCAGTGCGCACTAACTGCATCGAATTTGCTATTAGTACGGGCTGTCTGAATGGAGCGTAATTAATTACATTCATTTACCTGAGCATCCACTTTGGTACCACTACTGTCGTCCCAGAGGACCTTATGCCTAGCGTTCTTCACGAGCGTGTCCTTGACAGTTTTAATCATCCGCGACTTATCCAGCTTGAACGTCATCGCGCTCTCCTCGTCATATCGATTCTTCTTCGAGATAGGCTGATGCCTTTTGGCGAACCAGGTGCTTGGCGTTATAAACGCACCAATGCTCTTACCACTGCTAGTTGGTGTCTTGCTCTTAGTACTGTGCAGGATGGAGACGTCGAAGCTGTTGGATCGAGAACTCTTGAGTCGACTACGCCTCTGCTCCGCCGTTTTGGCTGACCAACTCGATTTCTGCTCGTCCTTCGCGCTCGATGCTTCCGACGTGCCGCACGTATTTATCTCCGTCGCGGACGATGTCAGGGAACTCAAGATGGATATCAGATCTGTGTTGGAACATGTAATACCTGCCGCAGCTACTCTTGACGTTCCGGGTAACTCGATATCGGAGAGCGGCCTCGTCATCTCGGACGCGCGTCTACGTAAAGCTGACGTTGATGCTGCTACCGATGCCGAGAACTCGGAGAACCGGCGTTTCTGATGTTGTATGTATTTCTGAGTGGTAGAACTGCTGTTGCCCTCCAGAGGCTGGATCTCGCATACGCGCTCGCGAGACGGTGTCTTGTACATCTTTAAACGGACCTGGGACGCGTGTACGAGCACGATTAGAGCGCTCCTCGCTTAAACGAAACGTCAGAGAACTGTCTAACTAAATATATCGAATTAACATAAATACCTATCAGTTGTTAATGGACTTTATAGTATGCGCCATTCTCTTCAAAATGAAATGTAAATACGAGATTAAACAAAACATCAGAGAACTGTCCAACTATACATCAAATTGACGTAAATACCTATCAATTGTTTATAGTAGTATGCGCTTTCTCTACAAAATGTAATACAAAATGGAATTTAAAAAAACTTAAGTACAAGCTTTATAATTTTTTTATGTTTTTGAACCTTGAATTATTCTCTTTGAAAAATTCTGAGGAAATATATTGATTAGATGAGGAACATATTACTCTGCTGGTCTGTTCGGGTCTATTTGTCCCGAAATGTAATTTATTTATTATGTTATCTAATGACGTGTAATATACTAAAGAAGGACAAATGTAATGTAAGTAATGTATCCTGAAGATGGTTGAACCGAAACGTTTGGAAAAATTTTGATTGTGACAATATATTTTTTTGCACCATTTAACGTGCCTGGCTCATTTAGCCTTTATTCGAATGTATTATTGAATTTTTCAGTTTGAGCCTTTAAGTTTGTTAATTTTAATTTGTAATTTATTTGTTCCTGTTAATATTTTATTTAAAAACTTCTTTCTCTGGTAATTTGATTTGATGACTTCGTATTTTAATATAAGACTTTTTGTGAAAATTTTTTATTTTTTATTTTTTAGAACTTTTTAAGATATTAACTAAAACTTAAATTAGTCGAAATAGTAAATTTAAACAAACCAGCAGAGTTTTAATTAAACTTATTAAACGATCCGACTTTTCTCTGTTTATATATATATATATATATATATTCTCAAAGAACCAATTTTATTATTATCTTTATAAAATACAAGATCTCTCTTGAATTTATTTACGTTGCTGAGAATGTCTTAAAATTGCAATTGAACTCCTACAGGCAATTTTATTCATATATTTGTAAAATACATGATCTCTTGAATTTTAAATTTACATTGCTGAGAACGTCTTGCGTAAAACGTAGAATTGCAATTGGACTGTTATTAGAAGCCACGCGGCTCTTACATCTTTCATTTCGAGCAAACAAGTACGGACAGGCATAATAAAAATCAATAACCTTAATAAGCCTAAATGGTTGTCATAAAATCATAAATGATTATGATAAAACTCGGTCTTATCTCTCTTGATTCTGTATTAAACTAGCAAAAAAATAAGACTTGAATAATCTCATCATTATGCTTTGTTATTCGTCCTGCCTCATTTATATTATTTACCTAAGTATAAGCTTTAGGCTGTATACGCTATTACTACGATTACTTGTAACAATATCGCTAATCCAGAGTTACAATTTACCTTCCTGGCTTTTATCTCGGCAATATCGTCCATAATATCGAGCTGTAGATTGTGAGTGCTTCCACTGTTGCTGGGCGGGCCGGTCATCCCAGTGGACGAGTCTCGCCGGCTCTGTAATATCCTGGTGGCGCCTCCCATAGGAAAAGCAGCGATGGATTCGCGACGATTGCGCCCGAAGAGGGTGGTCGGCACCCTGGAGATCGTGACGACAGAGTGCCGCCGGCCGCCGGCCGTCGGTGCCGGGGTTTGTGAGAGCGTCGCCAGGAAAGCAGCCTCCCTCGCTGATGGACCGGAACCTTCTCCGCCGCGTTCGCTCAACCGTCGCACCTATTCATCGTGTGCAATTTAAGAGGAGACCATCTTAGCGACATCGACACCCAATACGGATTTATCTTACTGTTTGAGAAAGAAATTTAATTAATCGGATTGCCAATCAAAGGACATAGCCTCATCGAGAAATACTATAAATCTAAATCGTTTTTAAAGGATTTTATACATTTTTAATATGATTATTTATAGATCTAGCTTGCTCGTAAGCTTTTAAAAATGTAATTGTACGCATTAAAATGATAATATCATTGTGATGCTAAGTTTAGAATAGTAAGATGCCTGTTAAGGCACTCAGTACTACTGTACCAAATTGACGTCAGAAGTAAAAAAATATACGATAAAAATTTTTGCAAATATTTATATTTAAATAAAAATATTTTTTAATAAAAACAACATTTGCAATCAATGGAATAGACTTATAAAATATATCTACCGAAAACTATTTTCTCGTTTTGGGAAGAAATCATATTTATTTCTATACATTATTAATTTAGTTTTAGTTTATTCTGTATGTTATTAATTTAACATTCTGTGAACATTGCTGATTTCGTTTTTGATTATGCATAATTCATTTCTAAATGTATGATATAATTTCGAGATTATTTATTAATAACGAAACAAAAGAGAAGAATTTTCGATGTATTTTATAAGTCGATTTTGCCAATTATATCTTGTAAAATATAAAAAAACAATAGTTAATAAACCCAGTTACCATCCGTTGAGTTAAAAAAAATAACATTTTGTTATTTTTAAGTTTTATGATTGCGTTCGAAGAACGCACATATCAAAATATAAATCAAACCATTTCCATTGTTAGTTTTAAAGTAAACAATATTTATATTAATGTATACATTTAGTAAATAATAAATTAAATTAGAGTCAAATTTAATACATTTTATTGAATTAAATTGTTTAATTTTCTTTTTTTTAGTTATTTAAATGTAAATATGTAAATTAATGCATATTGTGTAGGAGTATAGTAGTACTATAGAAAAAAATAACTCAAATTGGACATAGTTTAACATTATAAATTTAATAGTATAAGTGTTGTTTCATTAAAATATATTTCCATATTAATATATTTTTCAAGAATTTTTATTGTATATTTTTTTGCTTCTGACGTTACAATTTGAAATAGAAGTGGCGAGTGAATAGAAACTTGTAAAGCTTCATCAAAACAGTAATAAATCAAACGATAGTTCTATCAAAACAAAAATATTAAATTAAAATAGAAGTTGAAAAGTAAAAAGTTTGTAGATGTTCATTTTTAATTTTAACTTAATTTAATATCTTTCTTTTTTAATTTTGATATAATCTTTAATACACGAGAGTACGATTTTGTTGAAGTGTCTAAAAATTTAATTGGATATAGATCTAAAAATATAATTTTATTTGGACCATCAAAATAATTAGATTCTGAAATAGAATACCAAAATTTTTCGCAACATTGCTCATCATACTTGAGATTTCTATATAATTATGTTGATGGTCCAACAAGCTATTTTCAAATCAGTGTCTAATTAAATTTTTATAAATTTTTATAAATACTTCAGCAAAACCTTTTCGTGTGTCTGTCTTCTTTCCCTTCAAAATCGATCATTAAGCCGACAATTTTGGCGTTCGGAGAACTAATCTATTTCAGATTTCTCGCGCTCGTGTAAAGCGGGTATATTGCATATATCGATAATGCCGACCGCGAAGGACTTCCTGTGCACGTATACGCAGCACATACCTGGGATGCGGTTATCCCGGATGTACATTGTGGCGTCGGCAAAGAGTGCTTCCTGGCATCCCTCCATGGTGAGAGCAGATAAGGATTCAAGGATGGTGAGTCTGGGTCGACACATCGTGGCGGTGATTCTGCGCGACAGCGCTCCGCTTCTTCTTCGACGACAATCAGCGGCTCACCGGTGCTTCCGCTGCTCGAGCTCGGACAGTACGATTGCCTTCTCATCTCTGTTTTTATAAATATATATTTTATAAGATCGCAAAATTTGATAAATTCTAAAAATTTTTTAATTTATTAATATCCTGGAGACTAAATTTTTAATTGCGATATTCTGGGAAATTCTCTTTAATTCAAATTTATTAAAAGATTAAAATTACAAGCACAGACAGTGCACTTTATTTATCTTTATTCTTTAATTATCTTCCACAAATATTTTTTTCCATTTCACCAATGTAGGTTAACATTAGAATCGCGGCTGTGCCGATGGATTTTTGATCCATCTGATAATTTTTCTTTTCTAGTTAATCTGGATTTGCACGTAGAGCTTTAGATTTGTATGACTTTCACAACAATTAATTGATAAACAAATATTTTTACTTTTATGGTGACAATCATTTCTTGTAAAAAAAACCTAGATTTACTTTGAATCGCGATTGGATTAATTTAGACCCATGGTTTTAATGTTAACTTAAATTTTTAATCAATTTACTCTTCATCTATTTTAGTTCTTAGAACTACGCTTAAAATTCCAAGATTAAAATTTTATCGGTGGAATAGACATTAAACATCCAGTATTTAGCCCCATTTATAACGGAATTAGCGCCTCGATGTACATACTGTTTAAGATTCCGAATGGATGTCCGACGGGATTTCTCGAATATGTGCAAGAGTACACCGAGATTCGAGAAATTCCCCGCAGAATTGTTTATTTTCCTCAGAGACAAGCATCCGTGGACGTGCATAAAGTATTACACGTAATATATATAACCTTGTTCGGTTCGTGTAATTCCGAGCACGTGTAAGCATTTCGATTTGATATATTCAGAACACACCTCCCCTCTTCGCGTATCATGTCCGTGTAATATAATGGGGAGGGGAAGGGTAATTTCGGCATTAATTCTTCTATAAATACGTATTTGCGTGGGATGTAACGGGGATAATCCCGAGTCGTAACGCGTTCAGATGCAGTGAAAGGGGAAAAACATATCGCAAATGACAGCTACGCATTAAACGTTACGTTTGCGCAGTTACATAAATATTTAGTGTTCGCAGGAGTCATATTTTTGTTCAGTATCTGGGTCAGCTGTAGTATTGCTCACGCTAATGAAATTTGCGATCACCTGCGACAGTTGCAGAATTACCTTCCATCATCGATTGTTTATTCACATGGTTTAATCGACATCATGACGTTTCTCACAAACAAATTGCTGATGTTTTGGATATGCAAAACGCGCAGAGCATTCATTAAAGTATAATAAGCGGAACAACAGACCTCGTAAAAATGGTAGAGCTGTTATTCTAATTGATTTTTAAATTTCGTTTCAATAAATTTTCTCTTTGTGGTCGTAATATGAAAATTTGAATTGTTTAATATCCGCATGTATTCCGGCCTTTTATCGCAAAAGATCAAATCTGATCGGAGTAATTGAAAATTTAAAACGAATCTCTTAATCATAATTGAAGCGTGTAACGCTGAAATAAATTGCTCTTTGCTTAACATTCAATATTCCGTTATCAGATTTTCTCTTTTATATAATATATCGGCATGTCGAAAAAGTATAAAGAAATAGAAGAATTATATCCAAGAAACTTCAAGTACGCCAAGTTTCACAAATTAAATAGTACGGAATGAATACCTGTCGATTTCTTTTTAATTTACTTATATCGCGAACTATAGTCACGTCCACGTTTCCGTTCAACAGAAATGCTGGCGATCGATCGACCCGTTTCGTCGCCTCTCTCTTTCACTCGTCCCGATGATAATGCCGGAAATTAATTTTCAAATACATAGGTCAGTCTACAGCGGATTTGGTCAGCGGCTGGCGGTCTTATCTGGAAATAACGAATGCGAAACCGGGGAGATTCCGATGACATCAAGAGGAAAAGCGGTGGGAACGCATCCAGGAAAGTAGAAAAGAATTATTATCTCGGCGACAGCGATGAGGTATATAAAGCGACGTAGCATCCTTTAAGAAACATTGTTGTTCAAAACGAATTTGAGTACGCACGAGAGTACGTTTCCGCAATCATGAAGCTGTTCGCTGTCCTCGCTATTTTTGTCGTATTGGCTTGCACCTCGGTCAGCACACTACCGACTGTCTACGACGGACCTACTTATGAACTGAGTAAGCATACATTTCACCGAGAAAGATCATAAATAAATTATCTTAATCCTCCGGTGCTGACGCGAGCATCTGATAATACAATTACTGACGCTGGGTTTGTAATAGAGTTCTTACATGTCTTTCTACATCAATAATACTGTCAGTACCAACAAATATTGATAATATTATTGACTGTGTGTGGTTAATATTGATGGATTGATGTTGACGGATTTCTTGATTCTTGAGCATCAGAATTCTCTACCACAGGACAATACTGTTCCTTAAAAATCATCGTAATAATACTGTCAATATTTATGGGTACTAACAGATTTCTGATCGTATAAAATTCATAAAATTGAGTTAAAATATTATCAATAATACACAGAAAGAACAATTATTGATCAAGTATCTAAAAATTTAGTTATATTACAGATCTGAAGATAATTTTGTTGGACCATCAAAATAATTATATGTACGCTCAAACTGGTTGTTAAAATGTCAAAATTTTTTACAGCATTATTCGTGCTTGACATTTCTACATAATTATTTTAATGGTCCAACAAAATTATTTTTAAACCTTTATCTAGCTAAATTTTTAGATACTTCTGTAAAATGATTCTTTTCATGTACTAATCATGTTAGATTGTAAAAATATTGATGTACTATCAGTATTACTGATTTAATATTACTGATCGATGTTATTGATCGTAAGCAGAAGACTCATTTAATTTAGACTAATCAAAAAGCATTAATTAATTTCAGAAAACCAAAATAACATAACTTGTGTTAAAAACTTGTGTTGTTATTTAAAAAAGAATGAATATTAAGTATATTCTAATGAGAATAATCCGAATTTGTAGATGCAACATAAAGAAAATTAAAAAATATAATGATTAACGGACAATTGAAAGCAATAATCACGCAATTATTCGTGCGTAATAATTAACAAACGTATTGTTCAAGATGTTATAATAATAATAATATAACAAATAATTATGTTTATGCCGGAGTTGTCATTTTAACAATTTATTCGCGAACCAGTACTCTGAATGAATTTTGCGTATCCATTTTTTCAAAATAACTTACTTCTTGAATATTGATCATAATTAGCAGTTGTGCTCACTAAGCCAAATGGCTTATTGACATAAATGTTTCTCAAACCTTGAAAAAACTCCTTAGCTACTATTTTAGACTTATTTTATCCGGTACGATTAATTTTGAATCTACCATAAGACATTGCTGATGATGGCTCGAACAGAGCCGAAACGTCCGATTCTTCTTATTTATACGTAACGTCTGAAACAATACATTTGTTAATTATTACGCACAAATAATTGCATTGATTATTGCTTTTAATTGCCTATTAATCATTGTATTTTTTATCTCAAGAGCTCAATTTATTTTACTTTTATAATAAAGAAAATTGTTTGTCATTTTTAACAGAGAGATTTTAATTGAGAACCGACCCAATACATACATCTACCGTTAGTTCGAGATTTAGATATTAAGGGTTTGCATTAAAAGTTACTGTTCACGATTAGATGACAGTAGCTGTGTATGCTATAGTCAGAGACATCTGTTACTTATATCATTTTAAAGTGTGAACATTTCCTATTAAAATTCAGTCAACAGACGTCATCCTTGGTTACATATGTGCTTTTCTATAACTGAATTAAAATGGAACGTGATAAGTTGTTTTTCCGATGTGTACTTTTACACTATTTTGATTTGAAAAAAAGTGCAGCTGAAACTCATCGATTGCTTGCGGAAATTTATGAATCTACTCCATCGGAAACAGTATGTAGAAACTGGTTTCGACGATTCAAAAGTGGTGATTATGATGTTCACGACAAACAGGTGGACCGAAAAAATTCGAAGATGAACAACTGCAAGCTCTATTGGAAGAAAATCCAACTCAAACAGTCAAAGAATTGACTCAACAACTCAAAGTCGATAAATCAACCATTTTACGACGTTTACAAGCTATGGGAAAGATTCAGAAAGAAGGAAAATGGCAGCCACATGAATTGACCGAAAATGCCATTGCCAACCGTTTAAACATCTCAATTTCTTTGCTTGCAAAGCATAACAAGAAGAGTTTCTTGTGGCGTATCGTGACCGGTGATGAAAAATGGATCTTTTTCAACAACCCAAAACGCAAAAAATCATGGGTTGACCAACCATCAATATCGACTCCAAATATCCACGGTCACAAAGCAATGCTCTGTATTTGGTGGGATATGGAGGGTGTCGTGTATTATGAGCTGCTTAAACCGAACGAAACAATCACCGCCGAGCGTTATCGACAACAATTGGAAAGTTTGAATGATAATTTGATGCAAAAACGACCATCAATTGCATCAAATCGTCGAAAGGTGATTTTACTCCATGATAACGCTCGGCCGCATATTGCTATAGCCGTGAAACAAACACTGATGGATCTCGAATGGGAGGTTGTCCCGCATCCAGCGTATTCTCCGGACTTAGTACCAAGCAATTATCATCTGTTCCGATCAATGCAACATGCTCTGGAAGATATACACTTCCATAATTATAGCGAAGTCAAAAATTGGGTTGCTGAATGGATTGATTCAAAAGACAGACCATTCTTTCGTCGTGGAATTCAACTTTTGCCTGAAAAGTGGCAAAAAGTCATAGCTTCCGAGGGAAAATACTTTGATTGAGGTATTCATATATTTTGTTATCGAAATAAGTGCTCAAATACAAAGAAAAAACAGTAACTTTTAATGCAACCCCCTAATAATAATCAAGTTCCTCTTTGATAATGAAACGATCTTAATAAGTTGTAATTAATCTTGGATATATAATTCTCACTTTATCAGAGATTTATTCACTGAGATATCAAGTTCGAGTTACATTAAGTCACTTTTTTGTCGATAATT